CGGTGGACACATGCCTTTTGTGTGACTAATGCACTTTAATCGGATGAGGCGACGATACGATTTCTAACCGGGTCAAGGGCTCCGAATCCAACTGAAACACCATCCTAATACATTGGAGTTCCTTATTAGCCACTTTCGGCAGGCACGAATACTATTGTGGGCTTCCGAAGTCGTAACCAAGTAAACTTCATAGAAATAATGTTTTCTTCATACCATGCTTTGTTTGAAGCGAAGTAATCAGTATTATGTTGTTGGGCACGCAAATGCTCAAGTCACATCTAGTAAATTCAAAGAGGCTCAATCTTGTTCCTTCGACATGTAGTATTCATTAAACTTTAACTATGCATTTGTAACTAGTATGAGGATCTTGCGCGTTTTTATCAAGATTCGTCGCGGTTAGACTCAGGCAGACAGCCACTATACATCTAGGAAAGCGTTAGACGGCCGTTTCATCCTATTGAGACTCGTCAGCAGCGCGCACCCGTCGAGTCCTGCCGGATTCCAACCCACGACCTTACTCTTGCGAGTCAGCGACTTATGTCACAGTAATGGGGCGACGGCAGCGGACCACCATGACTGATAGTTAACTGCGTTATAACGCAGCTCCTCCTCCACTGCCGTGCATGTCATGAAAGGGCAGCGAAGAGGGCTGGCCCCCAGTGGCATGACTTCCTTTGTGAGACCACCAATCGAGGTGGCATGTAAGCTGCTAAGGTGACTACTGATTATTTGTAAGTAGCTGTTCCTGCATTAATTCTTCATTTTTGCCCAGTTTTAACGTGTAACCTTATTACAGAACCTCGTTACATGTGTTATTCAATGTGAATAAAAGTGGAAAGCGTAAGTAATTTCCAGTTGTCTCTCGCTTTTTAAATAAACTATGTATTTCTCGGCAATGCGAGGCACTGTTCAACACAGTGGTCTGCTCAATTGGGTGCAGCACGAGCACACCAAACAGATACCTATTCATTTTTTATTGCGGTCCGCAAACGCGTATGGATTGAACTGTGGTTGAATGTATCAGAGAATTAATAAATTGAGAACAATAAGAATTGAGGACAATACCCGTTAAGTGCTGAAACGAACGGGTCTTAACAAGATAAACGAGAACACAATGCTATCACAAGTCACCATACTTGCGACTGTACTGCCAGATCACGCGAGCCTATACAATTGGTTCTCTGTACATTACAGCGAAGGATACAATGCATTGGTTTCTCATGGTGGCTTCATGCGTGATGAGAGTAATGTGTCTCGTGGTAAATGTTGGCGCAGATGTGAAGAATCAGATAGTAGGCATGTGCTTTTACCCCTGAGTCGAGAACGAGTCAATATCGAACATGTGGTTTGACCCCTAGGGCAAGTTTCACTACGTAGGAGCGAACAGTTGTGACAGCGTCGGTTGGCTGGTTGCAAATGTTCTTCACAAGAGGCATTTCAGTGGGTTTATCTGGTTATTGAACTCGAGCTCGGTTGCAAGGCTCACTTGTATTTTCTGCCGAATCACCAGTGTTATTCTATCTAGCGGAACTAAGTAGCTGAAGCCGCTTGGCACACACCCCATACTCCACTGAGCTTGATGCGGTTGATCCACTTCACGTTTACGTAAGACTACATATTATTCCTATTAATGCAGCCTGCGGGTTCTATTTAGGTCAAGGGATGTGGTCGCTTAGCTACATGTAGAAAATCGTGACTTCGCACTCTGATCGCAAACTTTTTTCGGACATCTCTTTGTATCCTGGAATGCGCACGGCGAATCTCTTAATGTTGCAAGTAAAGGATAAATGGTTACCCGGTATATGCATTTCATATACCACAACAATAAATGCTATCCGCAGAGCTCACTACTGTATTTCTAGATCCTTTAGATCATCCATGATAATCGGCGCGGTGGTGTTCTGCAACTCAGCATGCAAACATGTTAATGTCGTTTGCAAACAAAAAATACGGTCATGCGATAAATTTTCCGGCCGTGGTAAATATACATAGGATCTTAGTCCATTCCCTTACCGATGATTCGCATTGAAATATATGTCTTCTATCTGTTAGTTTATTCACTGTCATGTGGCCCTCCGAGAGTCAATAAGAAAGTCTGGGCCGCGACCACAAATCATTAATAAGAAGACTCGTGGTTATTTATAGAGTACATACAATATTTGGATATTGTCCGTTCACTGACTGGCCCTCGTTAGCTGGCCTATAACGTCAGCTACATCCCCTTGGTTTGTGATCGTTTTCCATGCGGGCCAATCCGCCCTTACAGAGCTCATGATTACCCTGGGCCTCGCTAATGCCATCACGGGTAGACTGTATGTTGGTGTCTACTTGTCCGTTCATTCATTTCGTCGATGCTTCCTCGACTGGATGTTTGACAAAGCTGCCTTTGTTGCTGACCTGATCACGGGCATACGCCATCCACTCGCCGTACTGCCGACCAATCCGCTTTTCCGCATTCCGACAGCGTGCTGTCTCTCCATTGAGCTGCGCCGATCAGTTCCCATGAGTAGCGGCTGATTGGTCATTCGTCTATTCGGCTGAAGCCTCTTCAGTTGACCATCTGCCACAACTGCTATATAATTGGATCAATAGTTATTCACCTCACTTAACGACCCTCTTTATGGTGGGTGTATACAAGTAAGCGCCTTTACCATCATCATTACTAAGACCAATAGCAGCACTATTCAAGCCCTGACGATTTGTTTAGTTATGCATACACACTTACACCGGAGACTGAATCCAAGGACTTTCAGTGTCATATGACCGGCTTCTTCAGACACTGTCTAATTATTTCACTACGCTTTGCTCCTTCTGCAATACCCACTTAGCTGTGTTGCAGCGGCAATACACAGCTCTTCGTTCGTCCTCCCGTTCCGGATCCTCCGGTCTACACGGCATGAACCATCATAATCATGCTTTGTTGTGGGTCGACTTTGGGTCCACAATGAGTTATTCACCGTGTTGCTTAGTGTTCCTCGCAGTGTAATTGCTTAGGGACAATTGCTGCAACCGCTCTTCTCAAAGCTTCGGTTTTGAGCTACAGTGTCACTGTCTCACGAATACACACAAATATCCATCTAGTCGCTGACGCAATGCTGCGAACGAGCCGCATCCGAAATTCATCGGCTTTTGAAAAGCGCGGTAAGAAGACAAATGCTGGTAGATGCATGCATTTCGTATTGTCTCCTCAGTACCGTTAACACTAACCGGTATGCAACTATCGGTGTGACCGAATAACCATGTGCGTGTCGACTTAATCGTGTTCTCTAGAGTGCACATTCCACGGCTTTACTATTCACACACCGTACTTGAGTTTACCGTTTTTTCCACTTTTTCTTTTATGATCGAAGCATGTCGGTTGTCTCTTTGGACACATGACAGCCATTCATGGAAAGGCACGAAAACATGCACTATTTTTTCTCCGCACAGTGGCGAGAACCGCATTCATACTGCGGATGTGACGTTAAGGCCTTACGAGTGTTTAGGCCTGTTCATTTTTACCGCCTTGTGCTCGGTATCGGATGTCCTAATCTCTGTCGCGCACAATCGAATCTTTCTCTAATCGGATTAATCACTCAACCTGATGCATCACACTATGCATTGTCTCATATGCGTGACCACATTGCCGCTTCTCTTCTCGCACGATGCGCGCCAACTGCGCTACTTGGACATTGGGCGTGTCCCTTTCGCATTTGTACTGATGCATTTTGATATTGGGACTTAGAGAGAATCAGTGGTCGCTCGACGATCACACGTAAATCATATACATTAGCCCTGGGGTAGTCCTAGTCTGCATCGATATTCCTTTATTCTTGTCTGGAGTAGTGCGACACTGTTCGACCAATCGGCTTCGCTTTACACTATCTACTTAGTCTTTCACGCCGCAATGTCGTTACTGTGCGACTACTGCGTTAGCCGCTGTTCATTTCTACCTATTTCTTGGCCGGTTGCTGATTTTCCTCTTCCACCATCTAGCTTTCTTAAAGCAGCTTAAATCTTCTGTAGTTCAAAATTTCTCCTAGCAATTTACTTATAATTTTTATGAGTAACAACTCGCTCGTCATACGCATGCATGCGCATCATATGTTGTGGCTGTTTGTTGGACAAGACTTTGTGTGATCTCACAACTTACTTTTGTGCTTCACACATTTCCCAATGCTTCATCATTACAACTTTCGCTTTTTTATGGATCACCTTTGTACATTTACCCCTATTGTACATTTACCCCTACGGAGATAACACACACACGAAACGAGATGCGCAACATATTTTGCCACCAAAACATGTATGAGCAGTGATGGGGCCCGTATGCCTTTCCAATCCTTCACTAATGACCGGATTGCTACTGCTTTTACATTGTTTATGACGTGCTTCCCGATCCCAACGTGTCCATCCCACTGGCGTGTTCCTACTACAGTCAAACCTGTTTAAGGCGGCCACTCAGGGACCGACGAAAAGTGGTCGCCTAGACAGGTTCATGCATAGAGACGTTGCTCAGGAGAAAACGTTGACAATGTTTTGGCTGGTGGCCGTAGATAGGTGATTACCCTAGCATACTGCACTGTACAAGGAGCTGGACAATGAAAGACCACTGTTACGATAGGGTACTTTTACGTACGGGTGAACACTGGCCTACTCGGTGTGGTCTCACCCTCTGAGAGGCTGAAGTCAACTTAGGTTCCAATCCCTAGGTGTCTAGTATGAAAACGACACTAACTATATGTTGTTATCGTAGCGATACTTTGTTGATATGACTTGCGCCTGTTGTCTCTTTGTGGGGTGTCTCAAATTGTCCACAGCGTATTTCACGCCTGTGTAGCTCATTCTACATTGCTGCACCATTCTCAACTGCCTGAATGCAGGGTTGTTGTACACTCGGTCTTGGCCGTTCTATTTTCTTAGCAATCGCTGCCTTCGGTTACTTGCTCTTCAGTAAACTTGTGTTTTCACCCATTTTTACTTGATCAAGTGATAGTCCCGTCACATGCCATCTTTTTTAGGTCTTTCACGACGTGGCCTACAAGGCACGTTCACGCACAGATTTATTGGCGGGTCTTGATGAATTTCTCGGTGCTGCTACCGTACTGCCCCCAGGAGAATGGGATCCATCCATTCGAATCGAACCCCCGGCTTCCGTCCCCTCACAAGTATGTTTACCATCATTATGCTGTCATCGCTGTTTCGCATTATCGCCTTTTTGATTTGCTTAGGTCCACTTTGCCATTTGCGCACGTCCCTTAAATACCATCTATAGTGTCTGTGCGAGTAACATGAGACTTGCATATGCGCACGATAACTTTTCCGCAATTTACCCATATAACAGGATTTTCTTCCATTCATGCCTCATTCGTGGTCTCTACAAGGTTTTTACCCCTTCTACGAGACAGATCAATCACGCAGATACCATAGTTTACGAGCAGCTGTCGATTATCCATCCTTCTGAACCTTTCACAGTGACACCAAATATGTTCGTGTACATTAACTAAACCTGACCTTTCTATGGTAAGGGCATGGATGGTTGAACATATTCAGTTTCCTAGTAATTAGCTTTGACCGTCAATTTCATACTTCGCTAACTTACTCCAACTTTCTTTTCCAGTTCATTTTCTCAACTTTTTGGTCATCATTTTAGGATAGTAGAAAAGCTGGAACTGCTCCAAATGGAACGCAACCCTCCACTACCACATCAGCTGCTGCTCCTGCTGCTGCTCCCCAGCCAGAAACCACGACCACAGCACTTGAACAACTGCAGGCTGGCACTGATCGGCTAGTCACCTTATGCTTGGCCACTACAGGGAACGCTGCTATTCTGAGTAATACGCAAGAGGAAAAATCTCGGACGGAGCCAGCCAGCACCGAAAAGACAGAGACTCGTGTGGTCTGTGGTAGTCGCCTGGATTTGGCTTCCTTGGAAGCTGTCGGTGGTGGAGCTCCCAGTGGAGACGATGATCCCGGTGGCCATGGTTCAGATCCAACCCTCCAGCGAACAGGGAGGTATGCGAAGATTATCAACGTTTTCCCCCTCTAATCCTGCTTTGCCTTCCTATGCGGTCTCTCATTCTCATTTCTAAGGGGCACACAAAGCAGCTCCAGGCTTTCACGTCGACTCGTACTCTTTTCCCTTACTCTATCTGGTTCAATCAATATTCTACCATCAACTCGCAATGCTTTCACTGGGTACGGAACCATGTGTTAGTTATGTAGGTGCCAATTTTCCACCGGTTGCACGATAGCAGATCATATGCCTCATTAATGTCCTCGGTGGCTGTGGTCTCTCAGTATTTGTATCCACAGCATTTCTACCTCCTGGCACAATCGCACTAACCATTGTGTATAGGTTTTTGTTCACCCTGTTCAAATGACGTAATTTCCTTTCTTTTATCACCACGCATTGAATGCGCAATGAGTACAACGCAGTTAGCCTCCGGGTACAATTAGATTACATGTTTTACAGCTGCTATCTGTTTACTCGACACTGCATCGATTGCCGTAGCCCTGTTCATTCTAACAAGAGGGGAATCCGACACGCACACGAACGTTTCATTGGCGTCTCATTGTCCCTGGTTTTTCACCGCGTTCTTTCGCTCACTGTAGTTGCATGAATCTCACGCGCCAACCTTGGATCGCCAGTGCGAATGTGGACCTTGAAACGACTGCTAGTGTTGGAAACATTCTAGTGTTGCTCATCCCAACTCTGGCACCCCAAGACCGCGGTTTCTTCCTGGTTGGGACTCATCAGTTGGAGATAGCCTGAGTTGGGCTGGAACTCAGAGCCTAGTGGCTCATTGTTGACGCCATAAGCACTATGCCACTGAGATCCGCCAGCAACGCTTTGTCCAGCGGAAACGAATTCAAAGGTGGACTTGGAGAATCCGCTGGTGGTTGGGTTGCTATAAGCAACCTCTATTGAGACCTCGGTTCACCTGGGGTGGACCTCGGTCATTCCGATCAAAAAGACCGTAAGTAAAGTGGAAACATTCTAGTGTTGCTCATCCCAGCTCTGGCACCCCAAGACCGCGGTTTCGTTCTGGTTGGGACTCATCAGTTGGAGATAGCCTGAGTTGGGCTGGAACTCAGAGCCTAGTGGCTCATGGTTGACGCCATAAGCACTATGCCACTGAGATCCGCGAGCAACGCTTTGTCCAGCGGAAACGAATTCAAAGGTGGACTTGGAGAATCCGCTGGTGATTGGGTTGCCACAAGCAACCTCTATTGAGACCTCGGTTCACTTGAGTTGGACCTCGGTCATTCCGATCAAAAAGACCGTAAGTGTGCTAGTGTTGTGGTTTGAACCCTCCACTGGCGACGAGCTCTAATGCGTGTCATCTATCGTGCGGAGGAATGTCAGCAGCTGCTCCCAATGATGGTGCCATACACAGTGTTCGCACATGAGCTAGGCACCAGCTAAACGTTTGAGTCCATCTGTATCTAACTTAGGCTACTTCCCTGTTGTGTGTGACTGGCACATGGCTACTTCGATTTGAAACACACAATATGCGGGATAACTAGCTTTCATCAAGGACAGTACGTGCGTGTTTCTCCTTCGTTCTGCTTTTCACTTGGGCTCTCTTAAGGTTAATCATCTTCGTTGCCCTCATGGTCAGGCTCTTATCTAGTTGTCTCAGAGCCAACTTTTTGTATACACCCGGTTATGGCATTTATCACAGTCCTTCGCCGATCCTAGCTAACACTCAAGGACAAGCGTATGATAATGCTGATGAGTTGCTTCTTCGTTCAGGCCAGGTGTTCACATATGGACCTTTCACAACACATACCTGTTCCGAGCGATTTTACTCTCGTGGCCTCCGTCCCGTGTTTCCAACCCAAAATGTACCCATGATCTGTGGTTACTGTTCTCTGTCCTATAAAGGAGCTGCACCATATTTGCCTTTCCCCCCACGCTCTCACTGTGAATCAAACAGCTCCAGTACAGATTGCAAATGAGAACATGAGTGAATACAGACTTAAGCTAGTGGACTTTCATGATAGTCGATAATCAATGACGAGCAGCTAGTTACCAAATGAATGCAGGAAAGTGCCATCACTAAATCCTCCACTTAAGTGTGCATTCACTAAGACAGCCTGTATGATTGAATTATAATCAGCTTTAATAGAGTAATCAGGAATTGAATACCTCGATTTCGTTGCGTGTTTTTCAATCATTTAGACACCTGGGCTGTGCATTGAGCTTGCTGTCAGCATTGATGGCTCCTGGATAAGCTAGGATTAGTGGTTCAGTGGTTCACCTGAATTCTTGACATGAAGAAATGCTGTATGGATTTGTTCATTACCTGTGTTCTGTAATTCCGGTTGCACTACCATCTCGAATGCACCGAATACTTTGAAAATTTTACCTCACATGGCAGCTAATTAATGGCAAATTGCCCCCATCAAGACAGCGTTCTTTATAGGTCAGTTTGATAGCTTCTCTGATCGTCTGGTACCATCTCATTGAACACGATCATCCCAAAAGCGGTTTTCATTGGCTGTTGCCTGTGCCGATCGCATCGGGTTCACATTAGGTCACTCTGCTTCTCCAAACCACAGTCCATTTTCCGTCATGATTGTCTTATTCGACTTGTTCTACCTGTGAACAAACCTGGCCATTCAGCAGCAAATTCGCTAATGGTATACATGCCTATCTTCCCGACTGTCACCTTGTCGATTCCCGTGCATTGCGGCACCACAGGTTCCTCTCTTTATGTTCCTTGCGATTAGGCAAAGCCCTTAGCTGCTGTCTCATTATATTTGTTTGAATTGCTTTCGATACGCTTCTTCTGTCCCTTGTGTCATTTGCTATTCAGTTCTAATTACCGAAATATCATTCATGCATAATTCGCACCACCTGCCAACCTGTTCGGAACAATACACATTGCAGAATGACATGGATTCTGAACCTTCAACGCCCCCGGTACCTGTTGCACGAAGAACTTTATCAACATTTGCACATTGAATGAAGGCTGCAGAGTGATCGCAAGATAGTGTTCCTTAAGGTGTCTGTGGTGCAGACGAGTCTCACCATGTCTGTGGCGACACCGATGTGCGGGGAAACTTATTAAAAGAGGCAACAGTACAAACCGGAGTTATTACGCTTCGAACTTGAGTCGGTGCGCTTTGTGCCTAGTTACGGCAACAACTGCAAACTACAAAGACACGAACTATCCGATTCTCTACACCCGCATGGTGTAACAAACTGTACTGGTTATTTTTACCATCACAGCCTAATAGAACGAAGGAATTGTCGGGTTATCACATACCCCCCTTCGATCTACATGAACACTGTTCATCACCAAGTAGCCTTTCACGTAACCAGGCTGAGGCTTGTTGCAGCTGCTAAAGTGGCATTAGTACGATCGGATTCTAGCGGACCTTTGCCGCAATTAAGTTGGGGAAACTATACCATTCAACATGGTGCTTGGTTCATGACAAATGGACAAACCTTGGTGAAAGGGAAACAGAATAGAAGCACTGGATGGTGTTGGGTTAGGATTATAATATCTCGGGCCTCAGGGTTTAACAGCTGTGCTAGGTGGTTCATGAGGCTCGCGCATTTTACACTTCGCGTTCAGTTTACCTCCTGTAAATTGTTATCTCCCCTATGTCTTGGGTTTGAGGTAGGCGAACCATCAGTCTGTCTCAGTACCAAATGGGAAGATGTTTAGGCCTAGTTTGTCCAAACTCAAACGGTTGTCCCGCGTTGTACGCGTTACTCTGGTGCACTGTAGCAGCGCCACTTAACTTGATACATGGTGGAAGCGCATAAACCATTTCATCTTTCTAAGTTGTAGTCTGGGCTTTCCTTCCTGATTGAGGGACGTTCGATCACTTGTTGCTAGCTTCTCTCCTCTCCTACTGTAGAATTTTCGGAGGCCTGATCAAGGATATCCGTCGTCGTGCTCCCTCGTATTTGAGCGATTTCACCGACGCACTTCATATCCAATGTTGTGCCAGTTTCATCTTTCTCTACTTCGCCTGCCTGACGCCGATAATCACCTTTGGCGGTCTGCTATCTCAAGCAACTGGGGGCTATTTGGTGAGTCATCGGAAATAGATGTATCTTTAAACGTCTTTGCATAGATAAGAAGCAATGTACATTGTCGTTGTAAACTTCATTTGGCATGTTTCTTCATCTGAACAGGTTGATGTGTTTACTACCATGTCTTCTTTCACGTTGACCGGACTAGCTTACATCGCTACGAGTTTCGATTGGCTGTCCTAGCTATCACCCGGCGCACTCATCTGCTGGTATATGAACTCCGTTCACGATCTCGCGGATGTTACCAGAGTCTGGGCCGTCCCATCTCGCCTACGAAATTGACTGCTCGCTAGTTCCTCATAGCGCACGGTTGCTCGGTTCTATTGCTGTCTACACCATACACTCGCGGATGGGTCACATGGTGGGCACACGCGAGGTACACCTCTACCCAGCGGATGCCTTGTATGTGCTGGTGACTTTCGGCCGGCGGATCTGGGCACCAACGCCATCAGCGGCGCTCGTTAGGACGCCTCACATTCGATAGCTGTGCGCCTTCTCAAATATTGCTACCAAATCATCTCGGCGTACTTGAACGAGTTCCCAAATTGGTTAGCTGAATCGCAGTGGTTTACCTCACAGTCTGAGCATGTGCTCGTCCTCTATCTGCTTGGTTGCTGATTTGTCCCATCATCAGTTGTTGTCTGACAACCCTTCATCCTCGCGGGAACGACCAACGGGTATGACTGGTTCGTTTGCCTGACAAAACTAAATATCCCGCTAAGTTGGCACTGCTATAGGCTGCGACGGTGACCGCATATCGATCTCGTTGCGCTGTTGTTTGATCAAGAGTGCCACTACACACCGTTCCGTCATACGACCGACGCGCGCGTCTGATTCCCAACGCTCGATCGTAACTTCAGAAAACTGCTTTGGGAAGTTTATTTTGGTGAAACCTGTTTTACATTGGTTCCAAGCTTACGAATACAGTCTTACATACATACATCTACGGTTGTGACTTTTTCGAAAACCTGGCTCGTCTCACGAAGGAGACACAATCCTGAGCGTTTAGCTACATCCACACGCGCAGCCTGACCCCATCTGCAATGCTGCTAGTTGAGTCAAGCACGTGGTGGGAATATCGCAAGTTTCTTATTCCGCAGCAAATGGGGATTGCCCGTTTGATGTCGCTCAATTTGTTGCGTTGCATGTGCTCGAAACGTCGTGAACATTTTCGTCCCATTATATATCGTTATGTGATTTCTGTAAATTGCTCTGTTTTGTAGGTATGTGTTTTAAGTTTCTTGATCATTTTGCAGAAGTTATTTCAACTCCACTCCTACGGTAACCGGTTTCATAGTGATAACGTTTTGCCAGTCAGCTGGTGTTCGATCCCACCATTCTTACTGAATGTCGGTCTGCGGTTACAAACGTCTTTATCTATCCTCCGCATTTGTATGCGACTCTGTGTGTCTCATGGGAAAAGCGTCGGCACCCGCGTCGCCGGTGCAAGTCTCATTTGGGAACGACCTTGTTTGAATTTCACTACAATGCTGATGGCTGGTTGTTACCGTCCTTATCATCATCATATGCGTTCAGCGTTTATGTCGCTGTGCTATCCGTTTCACCTCCATCCTCCACAGCAGACTGGCGATTTTTCTTCTTTGCATCCTATAAAACGACTACATCGGCTGGTTTAAATCCTAAAGCTGCTTTTTATTTTTTGCTGTTCTCCGCTGCAGCAATCAGGAGCCAAACCGGATGGGGTTACCACCGATCTCGGGTTGTAGTCCGATGCCTATTTTACCGTTTTCTATCTCCACGTTTACTGTTTCTAATACCAGTTATTGTCCATTTAGAGAACATGACAATCTGTCGATAAACTGTCTGCTGGTGACCCACGTACCGACTACACCCTCTACCACAGTTGTCTGGTTTTTCTGTCCTAAGAATTGTCTTGCCAGATGCCATCGTTTTGCGGCGCCATTCGACTAAACCATTAGTCTTTTTTAACCGGTAGCAAGTAACACAAACGCTGTTACCAAGCTCGTTCATTGACTTTTTGCCTTTACTCTTTCTCCCCTTCTCAGGGTACAATTGAGAGTATATTATCGGGGGCCGTTGTCGGTATACTGTACGCGTTGTTCTCCGGACAACCGTTGACGATTATGGGCAGCACGGGGCCTGTGCTCGTGTTCGAGGGCATTATTTACCGCTTATCCCTGTACGTATTATCACATTTACATGTTAAATTACTGGCTTATCATTTTGTGTCGCTACGTTTACGCGTGTATTTGCAACATTAGTGAAGTCTCATGTTATCAACATTCGAACTTTGCTACGTTTAGTTTCGTGCGCGTCATTCCATCATTGCGGTTGCAGCCTTATTGGACCTTCATCGTCATTGCTGTAGTCACAGGTGACATCAGTGAACGGCGCGGCGCATCTGCACATCCGTTTCAATCTGGGCTTTTAATCAATTTGTTCTAGTCCTGGGCGACTTTATACCTGCCTTAGTTTCTGGCCGGGGAATCGATTCTTTCCCCATTGTTCCCCTCATTCCTGGACATTGAAGGTAGTGTGAACATTCTGCTATCCCCTCTCGTGCGATCGTTGGATTGGGTTTCTTCATAGGGGCCTCTTAACGTGACAATTCCCCTTTCGAGTCGGTATTCTTTCACACATTCTTCTCCCAATTTAAAGCACGCTTTCTACTCCCGGTTATGATGCAACCAGACGCAAAGGTAATTGGTTGTCAGTGCACACCAGGCTATTTATAGCGCTTTTTAACTTGCACCAATTATCTTCCCGCCTGTAATCAAATCTACCATTTACGCTGTCTTCACCATTTTCTCAATAGTCAACTACTCACTGCAACGGAACTAACTCGAGGCTTTCCTTTATACCCCAAATATATGAGTTTATTCAGTACTTCGCTGTAATTCGTTTACAGTTGTTCTCCGCATTCTGACCCCCAGAGAGATTATTCGCCTACCTAGTGTACCCAGAGGCATTGTTTCGCATGTTGCAGCGCCACTGAAGCACACACTTGCTTCAGCTGTGTGATGAGGGTTACGTGTCGCTCCCGCTCGCAGCACAATGCACTCTATAGCCGTTTTCCTCCTTGGTTACACCCATCGCCCATATATATATATATATATATATATATATATACCAATTTACAATTGGCAGGGTAGTACGACACATGGGGAATAACAATAGAGGAAAAACAGATACTCAGTGGAAAGATCGTGCGGGCAGATAGCTTCCGAGTTGCCCTAGCCGACGGAGAGGTTTGACTCAAAGGACCCCACCCCGAGCAACGAGGTGATTCACACAAATTGCTGAGTACGAAGACCGTTGACAGCCACGGGACTCATTCGCGTTCTTTGTGTTCGGTAGCAGTCTATACAGAAGCCGGTGCTTGACAACTTTGTTCATACGTTCTACGTTAGATACTCACCTCTGTTTACAGAACTGAGTGGTCAATGACCCTGTAGCCGGTCACATTGGCTTTGACAGCGCCGTACGAGCTTTTGTGGTATTTTATGGATAACCAAATGACTTGCCCAGAACTTCCCATGCTCTGAGACGCTGCCGCTGGTTGTTCGCTGCTGCTTATTCATCTCGCTTGCAAAGCGAACGAGACTTATTCGCAATTACTTCTACATTGAAGGTATTCCCCACTTTGCAACCTGGGGACGGGCCCGATAGCCTACAACCGCCATGGTTCTTTGCTCTGTATGGTAGTGCATGGTAAGAACGATTTTCGACCTGTGGTCGAATAGATAATTGGTTTTCGGAAGAGGTTAGGTAAAATAATTGTTCAGTCTGATGCGTGCTTCTCTGTCCGAAAAGCGACTTAATCAATTCTGATGTCTATAGATCACATACCACTGTTTATCGCTCAAACCTCATTCTTTCTTGCTTTGAAAATTGCTCACCGACCTTCTTCGTGATATTCTGTTGATGCACAAACAGGGTAACCTTTTTTATAATTTCCACGTCTTTTACTTCCTGCTCAGACGTATGGACTGGGATTACCTGAGTTTTCGGCTTTGGATCGGATTCTGGGTGGCCCTGTTCCTCCTCATCATGGTGGCCTTGGACTTGAGCGCTCTGGTCAAATACATTACGCGATTTACCGAGGAGTCGTTCGCCACCCTCATTGCTTTCATCTTCATTATTGAGGCTTTTAAAAAGACCTTCGCAATTTCAGAACGCTATCGAGTTGACCTGTAAGCTGAACATGTAATCAGTGAATGTTGCGTTCTCTTCGTTGCTTCATATTGTGTCCAAAAATGCGCTCTGGTTCACCTGTTGCGGCCACTTTACTTCTTACTCGAGCTGGCCGAATTTCCCCCCACACTGTGTTCACCTTCCCGCTGTAGTTACCCCTAGGCGAACACATTTCGAGTCCGTTATGGGTTCCATGGTTGTGCTCGCTGTGAATGTACTCTCTTGAGCTGTATTTGTGTCATCTACAAGAAATTCAAATCGGTAGCCTCACATTCAGTGCTTTGCTAGGAGTTTTGCATTAGATTGTGATTTATGGGGTTTAATATTTTTTAGTCAGTTATGTTCGTTAACTTGCTTTCTAGCGATGGTTGACTGAAGACAAATGTTGGGCAACCTCCATCCCCCCTACACGCAAGCTCATAACGGTCACTTAGGTTTCTAGTGGTGGATTTTTGGATTTTTCATACATATTTTGCGCGTAATCAGATCCGTGGGTGGGACAGTTTAATCATTCTGCTCTCTTTAAGCACATGCGACACACTGACGAGTTGATCTGCAAACGGATGTTACAATCGTATCTTTCCCCTTGCTATCCTCGTGTGACATCACGATTTGCGTGTTTTCACCTTCCCAGCCCCTTTGCTACCGGTGGAATAGTGCTTCGAGCGATTGGCGTATAATCCACGCCTCCGAACCCGCGTTGACGCGAAAAACTTGGCAGTATGCCGGCCCACATATAATCACAGTTGATCGCTTGGCAAAGAATCAGCGATACACGCGTATTGCTTATGTATTTTCCCCTATCTAGTGATCTACACTGCTTGGTGCTTCCAAATTGCCTCTGGCCCATTGGTAATAGGCCGCACAGACTTTACCTCAGGATAGGTCGGTAGCTGTCAAACATCAGACACGGAAAGCAACCAGTTACCGTTTGTAAACGGTTGCATTTGTGCCCCTAACAGTATGGGTGGCGCACCCTTCGCCCCCTTGTTTACGACTGCTCACTTCCGGCGTGGTAGTGCCTGGTCATTACAGTGCAAATTCTTCAACTTCCGCCGCCCCGCGATTATCCGTGTTAGCAGCTGTTAGACATACGTTGACCGCAACGGAGTTCGCATAGGACCCTACAGGTTCAATCACCAGCTGGGACTGATCCCTCTTCATTTTGTCTAAAATTACATCTTAGAGCAGAAACGAGAGAATTCGAAAAATGCTCTCCCTAATCGTGTTCCCAGAGTGTCGTCCACGCACTGGTTCCCGTCATGAGTGCTCAATCCTCTGCGTGTCTACGCTATTCTCAACCGAAACATGCTCTCTTCTGAGCTCCAAAGCCGCCCTACTCAGAAAACATATGTTCACATCTAGGTCTCCATCTCATTATGTCACGCAACGTCCGCATCCTACATCTGATCGCCGACCGGCGACGATCGATCTCACTTTGCTCTCTCTTGGACTTCCTGATTATTGTATCCCAAAACACTTATGTACTGCTGCAGGGTCGTAATCCACCAACCTCTTCCAAATTCCCGTCCCGTTGATGGTGGTTACGTACACTTGCGATAATATCTGGCTGGTGACTTACAGCACATGTTCCCCGGTCATGGTACTCTTAGGTCACTTTAATTCCACTTCCGTGTTAATTCCGATCCCCCGCCCAATGGTTAACTGCTAAGGTCATATTCCGTGTGCTTCAAGCGACACGAACGTTCAGGGACCCCCTCTATTTTTGGTTGAGCACCGCATGGGAGCATCCCATGATATTTGCTTGCCTCAGTAACAATGACCGTTTCCCCAGCCAAATCTGTACGAACACAAGATTGGTATCTACAGTGAGCTTTCTGCTACGAGCATTCGCATCAAGGGCACTTCTTGGTCGCTGAATGCTGCGTCACCATGGACCCGGCTTATTCTTAGACTGGCAGCTATCCCCCACCAGTATTCTTCTCTTTCACCTAAACTAATTTCCACCTCGTGGAAATTTCGGAGAAGGTGGCCTCACTACATCACCTCCAAACTTTCCATTTGCTTCTTGATTCGACCGTTTGCCGTTCCCACTGATGCATGGCCTACTCATTGTGTATTCACACTTCATTAAGTGTTGGCCACCACAATAAAGGCGATGCGCTGTCATGGTTGTTAGACGAACAGCACCAACCAGAAGACACTGTCGTTGCAAATGTCTCAATCGAAATGGAAGTTAACCGTGTACCCTCATACTGCGAGCCAGCTTTCAATATCTTTCAGTCAAATTCGAGACGCCACCTTGCGAGACCAGCTGCTGTCACGTTCCTGATCAAATTGTGCCCCAGCAGCAAAATCGCCACAGAAATGCGAACTGTTCTCCTGGCCAAAGCCCACAAAACCATGGTCAAGGATTCACCTTGATTTCGCAGGACCAGTTAAAGAACAGAACTAGTTACTTATCATCCATGCATACAGCAAATGCCCCGAGATTTTCCAAATGTCGAACACATCAATGTCGGCTACGATTACAGTCCTCAGGGAAGTATTCAGTCGATTCGGTTTTCCAGAAACAGTAGTATCCGACAATGGCCCCCAGTTTACCCCTTCACATTTTGCTGCATTCTGTGCGGTACACGGCATACAGCATTTGTGCTCACCTCCTTATCACCCACAGTCAAATGAGAAAGCTGAACGATCTGTGGATACTTTCAAGAGGGTTCTGCTCAAAGCGGAAGGAGACGGACCAACCCAAGAGGTCCTACAAACTTTTCGGTTAACGTACAGTATTACGCCTAGGCCACAGAGGCTTGAAGGGAAGTCCCCAGCATTACCACTCCTGCTTAGAACGCCTCGAACGAAATATGATCTACTAAGGCAGCCTGATAGACCCAATTCCGAAAGAAACGGCATAATGGAGCACCAGTACAACCGAAGACATCGCGCTATACCACGACACTTCGAAGTTGGACAAAAAGTGTTGGCAAATGACTACCGGAACAACCAAATCTCTTGGAGACCTGGAATTGTTGTAAAAAGATATGACCATGCCTGTTATGAAGTGGCCGTAGGCGATGACAGATGGATCCGCCACATCGATCAACTCAGGAGCTACATCTCATTTGACAGAAGAGAAGATACCCTAACTACGCCTCTAGAATTACATCTGGACGAGTTCAAACTACCAAAAGCAGAGGCTACTCAGCAAGAAAAGCCTATCAATCCAACAACCTGTCCTTCACCAGCTTGTCAACTCAGAAGATGGCCCGATCGTTTCCGAGTTCCTGGCACGTCGCTCCAGGCTGAAATCATATGTCAGTGGACTTCAAACGAGGTGTTAGGACAGGCACCTCCTAACGAATGGATCAGTGAACTCAAATGATGTGCATGGCTGGAGGTCAAACGCACGCGTCCGTCTGCCGTAATTATCGTTTGATAATTTGGATTCTGTGTTCATGTGACCTCGGGTGCCTCGCACGTCCTTTTACGGTGTTTTTGAGACTGACTTACGCAAATAACCATCTTATTACACATCACTGTTTTTCTGTTTTTTCTCTGGCTTAACAATGGTCGGTGTACCATCTTAGACACCTTCCCTGTCTTGAAGGCTGCTTTCTACTCCTTCGGTTACCATTTTTCAGTTCGCTGGATATTCTTAAAGGGTGGTTCATGGGGATTTCTTCCCGACCTGATCTTATTTCACCACTTCCTGGGACGTATAAGTTTCTCCTGTTAGTTCCGTTCCGAGTTTCCTATGATTAGTCGAGCTTGTTTGGGCTGCTCTTGCTCTACCGTTTTCTTGAAAATTAGGCTTGAAACAGCCAAAAGCGACAGAACTGCACTCCCATTCAGTCTGGCTTTACATCAATGACCTTGCGTACCAAGTCACAACAGACTTTACTTTAACAGATACAAACCACCCGGGAATTGTCGAGTGCAACATTGTCATTGTCAAGTGCGACAACCAATCCGGATGGAGTTTGAGTTCTGACGTCTGGTGGAGAAACGTCTGCAATCGGATTGCTGAGCTCGGCGAGCAATCCAGCATCTCAACACCCAACCGAAGCTGCCATTATTTTGACTTATTACAGGTTGATGACTTTTACGAAAACCAAATACATGTGCAGATATTCCTCCGGAGGACTGGTTGTCAAACTCCGGACACGCGGTCGAACTCGGATCCATCCTGTTTGTCTGTGTTTCAAATTATGTTACCGCAGTACGCTGCAGGCTTCATCGGGTGCTCCACTCGTCACAGACGCAAACTACCGTCGCACTACTGGGTCGACTTACCACAAGTTCTCACTACCACTGCTTAACCACTCGGTGTTCTGTCAGTTGACTTGTCTCTGGTGCCTTTAATCACAATCTAGGTATTCCTTCATATCGGCTAGGTTCGTATGTTTTTTAAATCCTTAATCGTTCCTAAGAACTACTGGACCTGGACTTCTTTTGTCAGGAACAACGCTGCATTGCGTCCACTATTGCACCGGGGACATGGTCTGTGTTCACCCGTGACACCTGAATCCGCGGACCTGTGCTGCCTGGTCTCTACGACCTGGCTTACACCTGACAGGTGCATCGAGTGAGTAATTTAAGTGTCAGCCAGTTTACATTTTTGCAAGAGGCTTTCTGATGTTCGTTAGCAGAAGTGATGGCTCTGCTTCTCCATGGTGTTAGTTCCACATCCGGATGTTGGGGTATACTTTGTTGTCAGAGAAAGCGGAGAGCCTGGAGTAAAATAAGCAAACCGCACATGAATAAGCCATGCTTATTCACAAGTCAAAATGAAATAGCTAGTGATCCCGGATGCGCTTAACAGGCTGCACTGTGTGTGCGTCCGTAAAGCACCTAATCGCAACTCAATCGAGGCACTCTGAAGCATTCCTACTCATGTCCTATAAAGTATTTTAATGGTTCTATATTCCGGGGGGGGGTATCTTATCTTCCTTTAACATTGTCGTTCTGGACCGGGCAATAGAGCCTTCCGGTTTGTCCGCACAAAACCCAAGGCTGTCAGCAGGTAACAATCCGTGTC